AAGGATTCTTATGTCTCATGGTGGTTAAATTAGAACCGCGATAGTCCAATAAACCATCACTGGTATTTAAGTGTTGTGATGCTTCAAAACTACATTTAGCTTATAACCTGCTATAGCCATCACTGTTTTCAATAGACCGTGATGCCTTTATGGTTCTAAGACTATTATGAGGCTATTTTCATCTACTCACTCAAAAAAAGGGTATAGATGAGGTTTTGGAAGGTTTGGACTTTTTTTTCAATAATCTAAAAATTAAGAATATTGTTTATAAATTTTCAAGTAATCATTAGTTTTATTTTAGAAAATAACAGCTTTAATGAGTGTTTTTTGGAAAACATTGAAATGGGATATAATGAACATGAAATTGATTCTATTTGTTATTCATTGACATACGTATGGTTGCAATTTGTATAAGACGTCAACTTTAAACAACCAGGCGCACTTCTTAATCTTCTAAAAACTGAAGTTTTCGTGCCAAAAACCTCTATATAATGACCTAAAAGTATATTTTCACCCCAATTAAGAAGTTTGAAGCTCGTATAGTTCAAACAAATCTATGAACACTTCAAAATTTTGAAAACAAACAATCTGGATAATGTGTTATGAGATACATTATTTTTAGGACTTGAAATCATCTTTTTCCATATCCATACATCTTGACATTGAGAGAAGAACTTTTCTCCTAGGTGGATTTTTTAGGCGCATCTTACTTCACTTAATATAAATATTTTCCACAAACAAACATATATATCTTATGTAAAAATTTTCCATTTAGACAGACATGTATAATAGATGATTTTCAAATAAAATTTATATATAACAGCTAGTATTTTGCAAACTTTTCTCAAATTTAAGAAAGGGACAAATATGACATGGCTGTGATATTTCAATAATGTAATTGTTGATGGTAGATATTGATGAGAAATCTGCTATTATGGATTTCCTAAGGAGTAATTTAGGGGGGTAAGACCATTCAAAGGCAACTTACTCAACAATGTTGGTGATATTCAATCAAATATGGCAAATCTTATTGGCAGCGGACTCAAATAGTTAGAAAAAGGCTCTGATACTGATGATGATGGAAGATCTTATTGGGCCAACCAATTCATTATGCAAATAATAATTGTTGGGCATTTAAAGCTTTAAACATTCAAATATTTGATTGTAGCTAGATGTTTTATTATTGATGGACGATAACTCACATAGTTATTCATGCTATATTTTCTTGATCTTTATGTTTTCTAGTTGTCTTGTTCACCTTAGAATCGAACTAGATGCGACAATCAATTGGTCTCAAGGTCACGGAGGGGATCAAATACTGCATATAGCGAGATAAAAAGTAAAAACAATGAGATTGAAGCTCCGAAGGGGGCAAGAAACAATGTTCTGCAAACAAACTCTCTTAACTTGGTACATTTGTAAAGTTTAAACAACTAAGCCTCATTTTTTTAGTGCGTTATTGAGGTGCACCCTATTTCAACATTATAAAATTGACACCTTATGTACATTTTTTTTCTTAATTAAATTTTTTAATAACTGAAATAAACAGCTTTTAAAAAATTTCATATTTTTCAAGTGAGTATAATCATGGTATCTCTCTCGATCATTCTCTTTATTCTCATGTTTTAATGCTTGATTACGGTTTTCTTTCTTTGTTTTTTTTGTTGGGGGAACATTAACAAGAATGATTATTGTTAAAATTCATAAAGATCAAGTTTTAAAAATCTGTGATCCGAATGACAATTGGCCAATCTAGATCTCAAATCAATCGGTCGGCCCAATTCAAATTTCAGATTGTCAAGCCGATCCAAAGCTCAAAAAATATCGACAACCGGCCAATTCCCCTGTGAGGTGACAGCTATTTCATTAGTCCCGACCTTCTTTTCCCCAATATTTGATATTTCGAAATTTTTTTATTAAAGATGGTGGTGCAATTCTACCGTCATTTTGAAGAGGTACTCTTTAATTTTATCGGGGAAGCCTATGGCCCACCTATTTTATCGGGCCCACCTATCATGAAGAGAAGCCCACCAAAAACCATAAAGCATCTTCTCGTATAAGGACCCGTTTTCTATACGGTCAAGCCCGTATATGTAGAAATGCAAGCCTCTTGATAAATTTATTTTTTGAGATGGATTACAGGACTTAATTTTTAAAGACATGTAATTCATAAGATGGAAATCATGAATAAAAATAAATAAATAAATTTTAAAAACAATTTTAGTAAAAAAACATTTGAACTGTTAGTTTTCATTATTTTTAGATGAAACACCTACTTGCATCCATCTTTAAGGTGGATGGTTCCTTTCCATTATTTTTATATGAAACACCTACTTGCATCCATCTTTAAGGTAGATGGGTCCACGGATAACGATATGCCCAATGTGGAATGGAATAATAAAGATAAGAGGGAAAAGAGCGAGGAGGAAAACGACTTCTATTCGACTTGCCCTAAAGGCCGCTCCATCACTGTCAATCGTCACAAAACCAGCACAATGTTGGAGCGAGAAATTTATGTCACGAGATCTTAGAAAGAGAAAATCGACCCACCAGAACTTTGAGAGATAAAGTGAAGTTTTTTCTAAAATATTTTCTTTTCCAGTTAATGCTCTAAAAGATTGGTGTTTTTCCCAACAAGCTTCAAGTCAATTTATCCTGTGGATAGAAATCGGATAAGCTTCATATTAGGCAAATGTTGTTTCTTGCGGTGTTTTGTTTTGTCTAACTTTTGAGCTTTAGGGTTGGCCATGCACCCAGCAACACAGGACTGGGTATGGGTCCAAGAATTGGACCCGGAGGGTGAGGTTCAGGTCAAATATTGGACCAAAATATCATGTCTACTCAACCCGAATAGTATTATTATATATATAATATTTAATATACAATATTTTAATAATATTTAATTGATATTTTTAAATATTTATTTAGCATTTAAAGAAATTTAATTATATTTTTTAGTTATAATATTTAAATAAACATGTATATATTTAACATTACATTTAAATATATACGTATATATTTTTGGATCAAGTCCAATCGGGTCTGGATCCAATCAAGTCCGGGCCTCGCCCGACCCATTGCCACCCCTTAGCCTTGCATGATTGTTCGCTGTGGAAGACCCGAGAAGGGGCCTTGTGTATACTATCACAAGATAATAGAATGAAACTCATACTTCACTTCACTTAAATAAGTGACAAATAAATTTAATATTTTATGACTAAAAAAGTAGCCATAGAAATACAAGTGTTTTTTCAGTCATTATTTCAAAATTCAAATGATATATAACCACCTTCAAACATCAATTTTCTCTCATCTCATCAAACGGAGATCAAAGAACTTAGACCCACCTCAAAACCAACATTTCCCCTAGAGAAAGAGAGAAGCCCATGAAACTATGGGGTGAAATGTGATCATCTGAGTTTCAAAATGGAAACATCTCAAATATTTACTTATCTTGCTAAAGATAATGAAAATCCATAACACATTACCCAAATAATATTACTAATCCAGGTCACCAATCCAGTTTTTGAAACCTTGATAAAGATGATACACAGACATTGATGGATTCCAATCCTCCGCTGACCACTCTGGGTTTGATCTGTTGCATGGTCTTAAAGTACTACCAAGCAGAACAATCCAAGGTCCCCGAATTGGAGTTTTTAATGCCTTTGCTCTCTCTCTCTCTCTCTCGAACTTCCACAACTTTAAATCACTTGTCAAATCGATTTTCACTGACAAATGAAAAATTTTCGAGTTTGTAAGAAATATGATTGATCAGAGACAAAGATTACATTACCTTTCCAGTCACCCCCTCGTGACAGAAAACATCAGAAAAAAAGAAACAAAAAAGAAGGAAAAGAATGGGAAGATCTTCTCTTTCATTTGAAAGGAAGAAAAGTGTTAAAAGAAGGAATTCTAAGAGATGAGCATGCCTCGGGCTCTGCCACAAAGAAGGGTATTGTGGGGGATGCTATACTCCCTTGCGAGGCTCCGCTCTGAACTGAAGACTCTGAAGTAGAGTTGCTGACCCAGGTACTGCCTTGCCCACATTGCAGACCTTGCGTTCCACATGCCTTGGTTATCCATTGACAAGTATATGGCAGTCCAGGAGTTGGGATAAACCTGTTAAAAAAAATTACAGAAGGGTAAAGGTTAGAGAGAGAAAAAGTGCTCTGAATCCCCTTTTTCTTTTTTCCTTCTTAAAGAGTGGAAGAAAACACCTTCTCTACTTTAAGAAAGGGAGAGAGCTCTATGCCCTCCTCTTTTTTTTATTTTTACTTAAAAGGGAAGGAAGCTTCTCTTTTTCTGAGTGTGTGTGTGTGTGTGAGAGAGAGAGAGAGACCTCTAAATAATAAATGAATTTTGCCTCAAATTGGTTGTAATGAAGAAAGTGTCACAGTAATTTCTCCCTTCAGTCATTTTAGTGAACACCAATGGACCACCAAAGTCCCAAATCAGTCCCATTTCATTCTGAACTGGGAATGAATCCCAAATTTGGTCCAGTTCATTCTCAACTGAGAGAATGAAATCTGCTAGTAACCTTTCAAATTTGGGCTGAAATTTTGCTCTGACCCCATGAATTGAATGTGAGAGAGAGAGAGAGAGAGAGAGAGAGACACTTGTTTTACCTGGGTGGTGTGTCTGGAAACAGCATCGACCAGATTGTATGTTCTCCAGCTATCGGACTTCCACTGTCCAATGCCCATCCTGCATTCAATAAAATCAAATATTACTAAGTTTCAATGGAAACCAAATACTCCTAAGCTCATTCTGTAAAAACTGAAATGTTTTAGTTTCAGTTGCATAATTTCCTAAAATAAACAAAAGACTGACCAAAATTTTTCATTTGATAACACGGTAATAAGAAAATCTAGACACTTATCACATCAGCTTAGGTCTCCATATAACATGCTCACATACATTAATCTGAATAAGCAATCCATTATCACAAAAAAATTTGGTTAAATCCCTCATCCAAGGTTGGTATTTTTCGAATGTGTGCATGCATGGGTGAGTGAGTGTGTGTGTGTGTGTGTGTGTGTGTGAGAGAGAGAGAGAGAGAGAGATGGGTTTACCCAACCACCCAGAAGGAGAAACCATCGATATGCCATGTCTGGATTGTGTTTTCGTTGTTCTGGAAGATGATCTCTACGTAGTCATGGAGAGAGGAAGCCACAACAGAGGTTCCCAAGCGCGCAAAACCACCGGATGGCACACTGGGAAAGGTGTTGAAGTCGAAGACACCAGCAATATTGAACCAATCAGCAAGTTTCAGAGGGGTTTCAGGAGAGATATAAGACACTTCATTCACAGCATAGCGCAATTTGCCGTTGATGAGAGGGGCAGAATTAGCTAAAACAAATCTCCTCATAGGCTTTATCAAGCCATAATGGAATGAGCCTTGAGGATTTGGCCTAGCTGCATTTGTTGTCAAGTTCCATCTGAAAAAAGTAGGAAAACAGTGATGAGAGAGTTATACTGGTGTCACAGATCTGATGGACAGAAGGGAGTGTCAGGAGATTCCCCATGGTTTTCTTTGATAGTTTGAAAAGATGATCAAATGCCCCATATATCTTCCATTTAAATAACTGGTGCAATAAAAGGAATCATTATGGTTTGGTGAAATATTGTTGTACATCAATAATGAAAGAAACCAAAAAATATGAATCACTTCACCACAAAAGGAAAAACACATTATTTTTACCACTCATTTTAAAAATTAAATGATCATTGGCAGGGGACTAAATCCTTGAAAATCAGTATGTTTTAGTCAAAATTTTGGTCTAACTCATGCAAATGATGGTGAGGACAAAAACACTGATGATGGTCAAGATGTATAATAGTGTACTTTTATTGTATCATCTTTATCTTCTATAATCAATTAATCACCATAAATACCTCCACTACAACAACAACGACGACAACAACGATAACAAGAGCTTAACAGATACGGAGATACCTGATGGATCTGGCCTGGTTGATAGACCATTCTACATCTGTGGGGGCAGGAGGGAGAGGCAGAGATAAAGGGATATTTGTGTTTCTGTAGTGGAAAATAGCCGTGGAAGTAAGAACTCGATCAGTGAAACGAGTAGAAGCGACAACATAGTAGTCCTTAGGGGGCTGGTCAGCTACTACTAGAACACCATAAGACTGGCCCACATGAACATCAATGGAATCATAGACATTTTGGATGGTGTGAGACCCTTCAACTTCCACTAGCTTTAACTTGTGGCCTTGGATCCTAAAATTGAGTGTGGTTTGCAGCCCCACATTTGATATCCTAATAAAGCAGGTCTTCCCTGAAAGCATTTCATGTAAGAATTGATACAAAAAAGGTCAGGACTTTGAAATCAATGAAAATAAAAGGGAAAATGCCTGGAGTTAAGCGGAAAATCCAATCCAAACTCATGAAGAAACAAAGTCTTCTTTGAAATCATGAGAAATACTATCACCAAATTCAGAAGTATTTTGGCAAAAAATGTCAAAGTCTCATTTGCAGAAAGTATAGATGATTAATATGTATTTTTGTTTACTTTGTATCTGAACACAATAAGGGATTTTAAATCGATGTTACTGAAGCAAACAGTCACATTCAACAGGAAAACAGGAAAAATAAGTACAAATCAAAACAAGAAAAAGCTGACACAAAATAACCCAGAGGATACAAAGTAGCAAAGGAGAAAACTATAAGTGCATGTTACCTGGGTCTGCATAGAAGTAGGCTCCATTAGCATGGCCATTTATCAGGATTCCATCAGGGAATGCAAGAGGTCTACCCATGTCCAGCATCTTCTGTAAATCCTGCACAGATAAATTGCAACAATGAAAACTTATTCATACACTTCCACAAGATTGCAGGCAAGCAACCAATTAGTTGCAAGGATCTGCATCCGTGCTCAAAAAAGAAAAAAAATTAAAATATGAATAGTCAAAACTGAGAGAAGAACACAAACAATAAGATAAATACAAGAATCAAAGTGAAAATGTGAAAGAAACTGTAAAATATAGAAGTGAGAAATAAGGTCTGGCTCATTTCCGAGTATGAGAGAGAGAGAGAGAGAGAGAGAGAGAAAGAGAACGCAGATGGAACATTCCTTCTAAACCATTTAGCAATTGGCCATAAAATTCCATTAAATTTTTAAAGATAATGGGCATTTATGACAATGAGGCATTCTCACCACATAGCACTAACAGTGGGGACTTTGATACCAAGAAAATTATGCATTAGAAGCATCTCTCAGATTAAGTCTTAACCCAAAATCTCCAGTTCGTAGTACTCACACCATTCCATATGATGCATATTGTATAGAAGCAGCTCAGGTTGTTTAACAACATTTAAGAATGAAAACAAGCCAACATGAAAGAAATCTATCTCTGGTGTACTAGAACCATAAAGAAATAGAACTATTGGATTGGAACTCAAATCAGAATTCAAATGGATGTTCTGTTCGAAAAAGCAGCGGTTGATCCGGATTCGATTGTTACAATCAAATGATTAGAAAGCAAAATGATCGGTTCGTACAATCTACTCACCTTGTGATTAGAAATGATTAGAAAGCAAAGATTGGTTCGTACAATCTACTCACCTTGTGATTAGTTTTGTACCAATCACCAATTAGCGCTTGATGATCTCCAGCCAGAGGAGGATATGGGGCTGGTATAACGACCCTCTTGAACACAGTCATGCCTCCAAACCCACCAGCTGCCCTATGCATCAGGGTTGTTGGGAAATAAAAGTAGGTCCCAATCTGATCTTTAGGTTGGAACCTGTATGTGAAGTTCCCATTGGGAGGGATTGGGCAATTGGTACCCAAAACTCCATCCATCCAAGAGTTTTTCCTCTGTTGGATGCCATTCCTGGTTTTTTGTTCGGTGTTACCAGTCAGATCATATTCAGATCTATATCAACATAACCAAATGAAATAATAATAAGCAGAAAATAATGAACGAGACAAATTGAGGAATAATTTAATAATAGTTTTGAGATTGATATCAACAAAACAATTCAGTATGAAACAAATAAACTGCACAACCTCTTCTAAATAAATTGGATATATGTTTATATACACAAAATTACAAGTGCTCTTTGGCGTTTTTTCCTTTTCTTTTACATGCTAAAGAATAACAGACTTGTATCCTTTAATAGGAACGAACACTGTACCAAAGAAAATTTTTGTGCCAAAGAAGTTCACAGCTTCAAACAAAAAAAAAAAATTGTGCCAAAGAGCTAAAAACATTGTACTGCTATGGGGTATTGGATTCCTCATATGATGAAGAGGAGGATTTCGCGGCATGGCTATATTATGAAGAGAGAACCAAATCAACAATGTTCTACTTATATTCCATTTCAGATTGAGTAGTAAAAAATGATCCATCATGGGAAAATGTACAATAAAATTGTTTGCTATTGGTACACGAAGGTCCCAATCATTCTTATCCACTAGATGTAACATCAGTGGGATAGCAATGTCTAATTGATGTGATAAAAGTCCAGGAAATGCTTTCTCAATTTAGCAACACATAACTAGCTAACTGATTTCACATCTGGCAGCTATGACTGATTGTGACCTGCTTGTACCAATAGCAAAAAGTCTTAATAGTGTACAATCCCATCAATTAGAACTTAATTAGTTGAATCCATAAAGATTAACAAATTTCACACGCCTCCACAAGAAACAAGGTCACGCCTCTAAAATAATGCAACCAGTGGTTACTAAAAAAGAAGAATAAACCAGAAGAATCTATGTCAGTATGTGTGACAATATCGTGCCTGACATGTGGGCGGCACCCAAACAGAAGAATCCTTGTAACACTCAATCAAGGAAACTAGCATCATTATTAGCAACATGAGAAACAAGATCTTTAGAAACATTGATTCAATATGTTTCAAGAGCAAATATTTAGCACAAGACAAATGGACATATATGTATAGAAGTAAACATAAAAATTCTTTTACCATGTCAGCAGAAAAGGTTCGTCCAACTTGTTAATGACATTGATGTCGAGATTGTCATTGGTTATGACATCCAATTGAGGACCAGGAAACTGTCCATTGATGAGAATTCCCTGCAAAACCACCAGGAATTTATAAAATATGCTCTTTAATATTCAGACTCATAGTTATATCTATGTTGATTTCTACAGCCAACAACTTATAAGGAAGGCATAAAAAGTTACAGGTTCTCATAACAGAAGGTCTCAACCAACCTGTTGTGGAACACCAAGAGGAGAAATGGTTCCATAGGTAACTGTCCACGTTAGGAATCGATAAGGGTTGTCAGCCTTAGCCAGAACAACAATTAGACATGCCAAAATTCCATAAATTGAACATGGAGAACCCTTCCCTCTCATTTTGTCCACAGAGAAGCTTTTCAAGTTTCAAGGACCTGCACACAACGTAAAATTAGTACCCCCATATTAAAGCTTCATTTGCTGCAGATTAGGTAAAAAATGGCCCTGCACTATTATGTCCGTGCAGTAAAAAAGAAAAAGACACTTTCTTTCAGCAGCATTTTATATGATACGATGATTTGGGCTGGGGCCTCAAACCTCTATTGTTGACGACCATAGAAAAATACCCTGAAACGTTTCACGAGAATCCACTACACCATAGCACAAATATGGTATAATACCAAATAAACCTAGCAAATGGAATCCAAAACATGAACATCGAAAACATTAAGCTACCAAATCCCAACGGTTCTTTATATAGATAACATTAAGGCATGCTTCTTGAGTAATGCAATGTAAAATGTCAGAACCTCAACAAAGAAGTATTACGCAGGAGCACTAAATAACTAATCAATATAAGAAGGCTACAAAAAGTACCTAATCCCAGAAAAGCACACCAAGAACATATCTTTCTTCAAAAAATTGCAATGAAAAAAAAACATGACTTATTCAAGAGCTCAAAAAAGTAAAGTTCAGAGATAATTTAACCAATTCCAAATGATTTATGAAAGAACTGATTCCATTTCCTATGCAAATACAGCTGAAACGATAAACATTCAACACACCAAAGTACACAGAAGAGGAAAGTAGCAACGACATAAGCCCATAATGATTAATTTGTGAATCCACGAAATCCTACTATTTCTAGGAAACAGACCAAAAGTACGGATCCATTACGAAAGCCAAGCTTCATGAAAACAGGGAAATGTAACACTATTCTTTTCTAGTAAGTAAAAATGTATCATTCAAAAAAGGACTAAACAACAATCTTCAACGAAAAATCATGGTTAAAGCGTAAAAAAACTTCGAAGGGAAAAGCCACCACACCAAAACATTTCTTGATTTCAACTGCAACATAGACAACAGCTTGATATTGATTGCACTAACCAGCTATCTTCATGGTAAAACAGCGATAAGAGAGTAAATAATTGGTCTTTAAGAAAAAAACCAGCTGAAACCATAGTTCGTAATTCGCATTCATAACAGGAAATGTAGCACTGCAAAGCACTAAAGAAATTGTAAAATTGAAGAGCAAAAACATGGACCTTAATAAGAAAGAACTTGAAACTAAATACAATAGAAAAAATACAGTTTTCAGACCATAAAGGCACTTAGCTTTTACAGAAAAACACCAAGAAACTCACACTTCCAGTATTTACTAATATAAAAGGATCATGTAGCACTAGAAAGGCTCCAAAAACAGTTCGAATTGAAGACGAGAACGATCATCAGCACACCAAAAACACTGATGTTAACAAGAAAAGCCTTCACAATCCTTCAAAACCAACAATTACTCATCCACAACCAAAATGCATTTAAAATGCACGATTCATACGCAACCAAAATGCACTTTAAATACACTAACAAGAAACCCCTGAAGGAAAATAGCAAGCAGAAAGCTACAAGAGCTATCTTCAAATGCAAAACCTATTCTTCATAAAAAGCAAAACCTTCTCAAACCCTAGATATCACGAAGAGAACTACTATACGTCCACATATCTCGTGTCCTGAACATCAAATAGCAGTACTCGTTTCAGATCTGAAGAGTTCCATACCTAAGCTTGACCGCACCAGAGGCTGAACCCTGAAGAAAGGGATAGGTCCTTGATCCGACAGTCCAAGCTCTAGGCCCTTTATAAAGGCGCCAATCCAGTACGTATCCCGCCACTTTTTTACGCGTTTTCTTCTATTAACCGCCATAATCAATATCTTGTCTTTCTTTATTGATACAAATTCTAAGGCTTGGATCACGCTAAGCGCCATTACGGGTTTCTAGGGTTTTGTGATTACAGCAAATTTAGGGTTTTTTTTTTTTCTCGCTTTTGCCTTTATGGAGCAGGAAGATTCTAGGGTTTCTGATGCGTGATGGACGGAAGTGAAGGCGGGACAGAAGAATTTGCAGAGAACTGATAATTATGTGGGTTCACATGGGCCAACTTACAATTTTGAAAATGGCTATTATTACTGGAGTTTATATACGATTCCCCACAAATCCATATGTCCTTATATTTTTTAACAATGTCATACATGTTCTTTTAAGATTATTATCGATAACACTAGAGTTATTATACGATAAATTTAACTGTTTATTCCATAATTATGAAAATTTCTTAATTTTTGTGTGATGTGCATATGTCCTTTTGTTGTCAAATTTTTATTTTAATTTTACCCTCACTATGAAGATTAAAAATTCAAAGTCACCATACCTGTTGATGACGTCAGATATTCAACATTTGTTTTTTTTTAAGTCATTTTCCAGGGAAAAGTCATTCGGGATTTTGAAAATCCAATTCACTGACTTTGTATTTTGAAGATCGAAAAGTGCCTTAGAAGTGACTTCGTAGCATGAATAGCCGAAATTACGTTTTTTTTTTTTCGTTTAAATACCACTCAATTCATCCTATTTCATCATATTCAAGATGTGATATGGTTTAGAAGGATGAATTGGTTATAGGCAACTCCAATAAGATTTTATTCGTAAGCAAAAATCTATTTGTGATTTATTCCACCTATTTTATGGTCGAAACAAACGTGGACATTACACCATGATTTTGAATCAGAAGAGAGATTTCAAGAAAATACGCATCTTTTCATTCTATCAATAATCGAGCACGATCTGCTGTATCATAAGGGATTTGCCTTTTCTAAAGTGGTTTGAGTTTTTTTTTCACTAAGAAAATACAATATGACCGAAATCTTTTTGGACTTGGGATTTTCAATCTCCATAATAACACTAAAATTACAATAGAAAGGGTGCGTACTATAAGAATTTAAAAATAGGGAGTTTTCCATAATGACAATATTTATCGGAGATATACAGGTAAATTTATCTTATTATTTTCTTCTGTGCTTGCAAAAGGCTCCACGACTATAGCACTTCCGGCATGGATTTGTTGCTCAAGAACTGCGAAATCCAGCTTAGAAAAACAATGTTAAAATTGTGTTACCTTGTGGAAGTTCTTGCTTCCATGGATCAGCGGGGCTTCTAAAGAGTGCGAAACAGAGCTCTTTGGTACCTCCCTTTTCCATCAAAACAAACACAACCTTGGAGGTAGGTTTTATAAGTCATGTCTGAGCCATTGTTTTTTGCCAAAAATGCTTGCCTACGGCTTCTGGCATTAAGGTGAAGTAAAGCGAATTACTCCTTATTTTTTAAAAAAACATGTCTATATATTTAAAACCTCATAAAATAGACCCTAAACTATAAACGATTATAGAAAATAATTTGTTAGTATTCTTTTTTTTTGGGTCCATATTAAAATTACCAAGGGGTATATATTTTTTATTTTTAGAGAAATGTGTCAAAATATTTATGTGAGATAAAGTATTTAAGCCCTATTCTAACTCAAGACCATGTAATTTTTTATGGGTATTTTGAAAATAAATCAAAAGACACGGTCATTTCCTTTGTAATAAAGGGTGTGATTTGCATAACGTTACAACCGTAAATAATCAAATTTAGGGGCACCCCCAAAATTTGTCATGAGATGCAATTTTGATTACGGAAATTCTTAGGATAGTGCAAGAATATATTTTATCTCTTATTGTAAAATTTAAAATTTAAAAATAGTTCAAATCAAGCCGATCCAGCAATGCATAAAAAATCTTGAAAATGAACGGTCCAAATAATGTGTTGCAAGATGTCCTAATTTTAGAATTTGAAATATCTTTTTGTCTCTGAAGATATATACATGCCGATATTGATATTGAGATGATCAATTAGATGCTTTTCTAACATAAAAACAACATTTTTCAAATAATTTTAGAGGTGTCAACTTTATATAAAATTTTTCGTTTAATAAATTGTTCTCTTCAGGGTTTAAGAAGTACAATTATAACTACCCCTATAATCTACATAACAACGTGCTAGTGGACCAAAATGAAGAGCCATCCCAAGCAATCAATCAAAAGGTATATGCCCATTAGTCAAAACCCATAGCGGTAGATGGTCGTGGATTTTATGTCTCTTTTAGTTTGTCAAGTTTTTTATTTTTTTATGAATAACCAAGCCATTGTTTAGGTTGGCCTTGTTCATTTATATGCATCATCCGATTTAAAATCTTGCACCAAAGATTTTTAGCCACCACATAAATGCATCAATGCTATACCATCACATGCATGCATCAATGCTATACCATCACATGCATGCACCAATGCTACACTATCTTGACATCTTGTATGGTCAAAATATTAAAGGCATCACCTTCCTCATATATGATTGCCGGTCTAATGAACCGACTCCCCAAGAAAGATACCTTACTTTGTCGAAGTAGCACAAGTCCACCACTCAATGGTTTCTGCACTATCACGCATGTATTTAATCCACTCTGCTTAAAATTCCATTTGAATCATCATGGCAAACCATAATTTTGAGAAAGAATACCATCTCTAATCATAGTCTTAATGCGAATGGTAAATTGTTTTAATTGAAAGAAATAATAAAATAACAATAATAAATATCAAGGACACAAATAGATTTAATATCAAAAGAAGGGGTAGGCGGTGGAATGTGAGAAAAGATTAAATTAAAGAGATAAAAGTCAAAAAGAGGGAGATTTAATGGACAAGGTGGAGCATGTGAAGTAGGAATGGCCCACACGCATTCTCAGCGGCACGCAATACCGAAATAAAGCACGTCATGGATTAGATCTCAACAAAGCTAAAGGCCTCAAAGCCTCATTATTGAGAACCCACTTGCGCATTGTGCTTGCATTTTTTGGATTTTTATATCAAATTTTAGTTTTCTTGTTCTTTTTTATATATGAGCGAGAAAAATAGGGAGCTATGCTACACGTACTTTTTATTAGTACATATACATTTAGTTGTTGCATTGTAGACCATAAGATGAGAGATATTAGATTTATTTAAGCGCATTACATGTGACGCAAATCAAGTACAATACTTGTTATGAAGTACAAGTTAGTTAAAGTGGTATATTAAAAAAAATACCCATAAGGATATAATAAAAAGTAGCGAGAAAAACTATTAAAACTTATAGCCTCATTAAAGATATGACATTTAATAGAACAGAATAACGGATCAGGATTCGTGTAGCCCCAATAGTTAAGAAAAGGTTTGATTATGATGATATAAAACTCGATGACCCCGATCAAGAATCATGAATTCAAATTGGGAACCAGTTGAGATTGAACTAGTTATGAAAAAATATCGATCCTGTTGGTTACCCTAAAACCCCGTTTTATTTTATTTTTTTACAGCATATTTAGTGTTTCTTTAGGTCTCCCTAAATTCCCAAGCCATAAACCCCCATCTTACATTTTATTTTATTTAATTTTTTGATATCTTTTTTAATTGTTGATTCAGATCGACAATCCAAACTAAGTTCAGATATGTTGGTGGACAATCCATTCCAACGATCTGGGTTCTGAAAAATTACGTTTTTAGCATAGCTCTTCATTAATTACCCCTTTTGGATATAGGTGGATGGATGGATAGGTATACAAATAGCTAGATAAATACAATATTGGTCAGACAGATAGAGAGTTTAACAAAGAGAAAATTGTGTAGCATTGCTTTAGAGATGGAGATATGCGTGATTGAGAAATCGCTGATCCAGCTCAAAATTCTCCAGAGTCGAATTGGGAAGCAATTCTGATTCCAAGAACTCTATATATTTCAAGCTTCCCTTATTTATTAAAATATAGCCTAATTCAGCTCGGAAATTGATCAATTGAAGGGGGTAGCACTTAGCCAGGAAGCGGATCCGATTTTTTAAACACAGACACAATAAAAATGGATGCGGTTTGTGATATTAAGTGTCAAAAGTTCTTAAATTGGACACATTTATTAAAGGACGCGGCCTGGTAAACACGGTATTTACAATTAAGTTGCTCCTCTCACGTATTATATACAAAAAAGAAACATGCTTTGTCATTTTTGTTTGAAGTGTAAAAAGGAAAAAAGAAAAAAAAGAAAAGAATAGGGAAGCATGTCTTACCCAAACATAATTGTAGTGTCCAAAATAATAGGGAATGTTTTTATATACACCCAACGAGTATCATGCAACATCACCTTCTTTTTTTTTTCTTTTTTTTTTTTGATAATTGAATAGGGAAGATATGCCCCTATCCGTTTTTTTCAAGTAGATTAAGAATTAACTTTTTGAAAATATTAATAGGGTGGTGCTAGTGATGGGAATGAAAACACATAATTAAGGTATGGAGTGCTACCAGCTTGACCCTAGCCTCATCCCTCATCACCTTTTTTTTTTTTTTTTGGTAAGTCAGTCATTAAAGCCTTTTCACCCATCAGAGTATCATACACTAACCATAATCCATTTGATGTATTTTATAACAGGTAGTCTTAAGCTATTGTTCCTTGATAGGACTTAACAGTGGAACCATGGCTCGTTACTAGTATCTGTGAATAGGATTTGCTGGCTTGTTAGTCTGAGTACCTTACACAATATTTTTTTCTCTTTATTTTGCATTTGTTAATTATGTTATGGAAAATTATTTCATGCGGGCTGGGCTGCATTTCTACAATATGCGGTCCATAGGTATAAAGTAGAAAAAATTACAAAAAATACCCTAAGATGGACTACCTATGCAACTTACCCGACCCCAATCTTTTCTCTCACTTTTTCCCTCCAAACAACATTTCCGCGCAAATAACCCCCCAACCCAAAAGTAGCATGAAATAAGACTAAACTACCCTTGTTTGTTTTCACACGGCCTTTTCTCTCCTGTTTTCACACACGCTCCGGCAATACAAATAAGTGCTCCGGCATTCTGAATGTACGCTCCGACAATGTAGGTCTGAGTCACAACGCTTCAGCATTATGAGAACTCCCTCCAATAGTGTAAAGACATGCTCTAGCATTCCGCTTCGATAATGAAGTCTCTGGAGCCACAGTGCTGCAGTAGTGAAAAGACACGCTCCGAAAGTGTAACGATGCACTCTGGCA